TTTCGAGTTCTCTAACTCTCCCACTACTTTGTATTTGTCCATGCACCTTTGATGGTACAACTCCAAATTTGAGTCCCCTAACTCTCCCATGACGTTTGGGACCTAAAACTCGAGCTATAGCATCATCACGGATGGAATCTTCAGCAGGCGTATCGGAAATTGATGTGGCACAATCTTCAATCATTTTCTACACTTGTGGAACTCAAATCAAATACTAGCAAGTGATACAACTAATAAATCAAATTATGCTTAATTGAACATTGGTATAATACACATACCAAAGTTTCGGCAACTGCTTCATTAATTGGGTTTCCATCTTTTCTGAGATGTCCATATTTCCATGCTTCTATTCTTAATCCTTTTAATTGTGGATTCTTTTTTTTTATGCAGTACAAATGTATTAATCACATAAATTGAAATTGGACAATTCAAGTAAGAAGACATGATATATTTGTAAAAAGTAACATTTCATAGGCCACACGTGGATAACCCTTTCTACCCATAGTATTGAAGACATTTTTCATGATCAAAAATATACTATTGATTTGGGATTATTTTATTCTCAAAAATCGGGATCTACTTTAGTGGGATATGCAGATGCATGTTATCTCTCTGATCCACATAAAGATAAATCACAAACAGGTTATGTGTTTACAAGTGAAGAAGCAACTATATCGTGTAGATTTGTGAAGCGATCATTAACAGCAACACCATCAAATCATTATGAAATTATTGTAATCCATAAAGTAGGCCTAGAATGTGTATAGTTAAAGAACATGATCCATCATATCCAAGTATCGAGCGAGTTAACTTCAACAAAAGATATTCCAACATTTTGTATTACGACAATGTAGCTTTTATTGCATAACTCAAATGAGATTATATCAAAGGTGGTGGAATGAAGGATATTTCTTAATTTTGAAAATATTCAGAATAGTTCAGAATTGTACTCACCGACAACTTTGAATTCTTGGAAACGAAGGTACATCCACTCATATTGGGCTTTGGAAATGATTATAGTCCCCTGATGATCAGTTAAATTTTTCTGAAGAATCCGTGGATCTTTCTTAGTGAGGTATTCAATTTCCAATCCATCGTGACAACGATGACAAAAGAAGAAATACTTTTGCAAGATTCTATAGGGATTCTTTGTTTCCTTCTTTTATTATATGTCGCAGACATTTTGAGACAATATGAATATTAGCATTAAGTACCCCATACAAATAGTTTTGCAGATATGTTAAATACAGCGAACTCAAATTTTATGATATTTGTCATTTGATTAACTATACAAAAATATACAATTAGTTTAAAAAATATGAATAAATATCACATAATAGTTAATCAAGTAGTCAATATTAACATGATATAAGTTACGTGTTTTTCTTTGAAAAAACACTAATTTAAGTTAATGTTCTTCGAAACATGTGCTACTTTAAGAGCATATTGTATTTTACTATTACTTCTTCAAGAGTAATATGTAAATATTTTTTTGAAATATTGAAAAATATAATTCATGATCTTCGGGAATAAGTAATTGGCATGATCCGAGCTAGGCGCCAAATTCTCAATTATTTGGCAATTGTTGGAGGTTTGTTAAATACCAAGATTCAAGCTCATTTGGAGCCTAAAACGGATTGATAAAGATGACAAATCTCATGATCAAGCTTTGAAATTCAAAATGTGGGAATTAACATGCAATGTAAGTGGAAAGAGACTAAGTGCAAAGTCGAATTTAATCACAGCCAATGTAATCAAGCATCGACGTTACCGAGCTACAAAGAATGATGTTGCAACCTTAAGGTTGAGTTACATGTTAGTCATAAGGGCAAAATCATGTTCGGTGCATTGGATTCAATGTTTTGGAATATATATGAAAAAACAAGCAGCGTGTATTAAAGCGGGCATAACTTTTAGCTCGGGTGTTGAATTTTTGTCCATGAATACAATCCGGAATTGTCACAAAATTCTTCACAAGGGAAAAGAGGTTTCAAATTTAATACCATGCTACTACATAGTATAAAAGACGTGACCGCATAGACCATTTCCAAGAACAAATTGAAGGATTTCAAATGAACTATGCGACCGCATAGTGTATTTCAAGACGCGAAGTTCTATTTTCTCACGAGTTACCTAATTTCCCTAGGATTCTATTTTATTTGGTATTTTGTAATCTTGGAAGGATAATTTTCGTATTAAGCTATAATTTTAGAGTTCTATTTCTTTCCAAACTAGTTTTTAGGTTTTAATATAAATAGGGACTTTATTTCATATTGTAGAGAACAAGACTTTTCATATGAATAAAAATTGAGGTTTTCTCATAAAGCTTTGCTTCAATTTTCCTTGTACTTAAATGGAAAAATTATCGAACTTATCAAGGGATTAATTTCCTTGTAGCGTTCAAAACCATTGGGTGTGAATTAAAACACCTGTAATCAAGAGGTTTTACAATCTTCGTTATTGTAGGGTTTTTTGGTTCATCGTTTTGAAATTTGAATCCACAAATAGGAGTGAGATTTTGAGGCTTTGTAATCAAGAGGTCGTTGGTTTAGTATACCTTTGGTTGGTTGGTTTATCGTTTAGAAGTTAAATCCTAAACATTGATTGTATTTGGGGCGTTCTTGGGATCTGGTGTCAATTCTTGTGGCTTCAATAGTAATTGTGCTAACTGGGTTCCCATAAGTAATACTCTTCATGAATATTAATTATAATGTTGTATTACTTCGCGAGTAACAACGAAATATATGTAATAGACAAATTTGCGATTAATATTCTTCTAGAATATTAATTATAATGTTGTGCTAATTTGGGAGCAATGGCATGATAAATTATCAATTTAAAATTTTAGAATATAATTAAGACAATACTGAAAGTTGCATAGAGATTAATGTGTGCACAGTAATAATAATGAATTATAATAATTAATTGATTTTGTGGGGGAGAGAAAGAGAGAGATTTTATGCACGCTCAAAAAAAAAAAAAAAAGAAAATAAATATAACTTTACGGGGAAGAGAGAAATTATGGGATGCAAAAAATATGGGTAACGAATGAATGACTTATCGACAGTGAGCCACCATTTGGTCCTCATTAAATTAAATTTTATTTCTCTCTCTTATTTTCAATCATATAATCTTTCATTAAATAATATTACACATAAATCAAAATTTTTGTTCTTCTTTTTCAACTATCAATTCTTCAAAAATACTATTCCAACTATTAAAATTTGAAATAATGGGAGCCTAATTCTTTTAATTAACGTGCAATATTCTAGGATTTGACTAATTATTTTCTTTAACCTAAAAGAAAAATCATGATTGTAGAAAACTAATTGATACACAAATTGCTAAAATAAATGTAGTAAATTCATTTTGAGGTATATGTAGGGCTGGAGAAAACTCCCGAACCGAACCGACCGAACCGAACCCGAAACTAACAGAACCGGACCCGACGGTTCTTCTCAAATTAAATATCCGAATGGGTATTTGAATCAAGAACCGACGGGTATGGTTCGGTTCTCGATTTTAGGCTAAGACCCGAAGAACCGAATAAAAATCGAAACTCCGTAATTTTTTAATTAATTTATTTTAAATAAGTAAAATTATTTTATTTTTTTCTAAATAAATTTGCTAATTAGTGAATTTAGTTCAAACAACAAAATATGATTTTCCTATTTCTAATTTTCAGTTCAAAATCAACTTAATCAAATTGACCTCAATTTGATCCAAATCTGTTATTTTACTGTAGTATCGTTTCTACTGAGAAAATCAAATTAAAATTCTACAACATCTCTCTTAATTATTTTGAACTCGCTATCTTTCTCTTTCTATGATTTTAATAATCAAATTTATGTAGAATTCAGCAAAGAGAGACATGAAATACATAAAATTGAACTACGTTATTTTGTAAGAGCTAATATTGAATATATCATTAATTAAATTAACGTAACTTTGTATATATTAAAAAAATTAATTATAATACAGAACCGAACCGAACCGAACCCGAACGGTTCCGTAATTAAATTTGGACCCGACGGTTCCACTTACTAAATACTCGAAAGTCTTGGGTTGGTTCAGTTCTCGTTAGAATCGAACCGAATTGGACCATGTCCAGCCCTAGGTATATGTGTATAGAAAAAATTCACATATCACCAAATTAGTTTATGCACATGTGATAGATGATTATGCTTATAAAAAATTATTACTTTCAATAGACTTTGAAGAATTAAGCTTTCATGCTATAATGTATTATGAAAAAATAGAGAAAGAGAAGAGAAAATAAAAATTAATAGATTTGTGTGTTTTATTAAGAATCAAAACGCTATATCCATATAGAAGAATCGAGGATACAACGATAATAATTTCTAAAATTGTAGGAGTACTATAGTTATTCACTAATGAACTTACCGTTTACAACAACACTTTAGTCCATATTCATTTTCAACTACATGTGCATATAATAAAATATTTTACAGGTAAACCCATTTTTTCAACATTTTAACCACATATTTTTCAAAAAATTACTATTCAAAACTTTTTTTTTTTATCCAAAATAATGGCGATCAAACAAAGGCTAAATATCAATAAAATGAGGAGTCATTGGTTAGGTCAAAATTTGAATTGTGTTTACAACTATAAATCAATTCTCCTTTTGCAATCGAAATTTGGGAATTTTACCCTTAATTTAGTAGTTTTAGATCTTGACAAAGATATTTTAATCTATTATTGCAAAATAGGCCACTTAAATTTTATGTAGAATATTACTTTCGTCTCATAAAGATAAATTTGATTTCATCTTTCGTCTATCTCAAATTATAGGCCACTTTCTTTATTGAAAAAAAAAATATATTTTCTAATATGTCATATTTAATATATATTATTATCAATAAATATAAACTAATAATATTTAAATCATTAAAAAATATCTACTCAACTATAATTATTATTTTTAATTGTTGCAAAAGGGATGGTGGATGTAGTATTATTTTACTTGGCAAGTTTAGCCGTTTAGGCTATCTAGTCAATTCCCCCTCCCAGTCATGACCAATGATTTATGAGAAACCCTTCAAAAACCCTAATTTCATATAAGTCACGAATTCAGAATATGAATAAAAGCCCCATATTTTTTAGTTTACAGTGATGAATCGACTGTGGGGAGTATTTCGACTTAGCGAAATGGAAATTTTCCTCCACAAATGCCGAAAAATTACTTCTTATTCATTCAAAACCCAAAAAATAAATCCAAAGCCCTCAATCCAATTACCTTATGTCCGAAAATATTGTAATTCGAACCAAACAATATGGTCAGATATCATAACGCTGTTTTCTGACAAGTGGAGCACTGATTCTGTTTATTCAAAATTGAAGCAAGATTTGAAGGACAAGGTTTCAAAATTGAAAGACGAGATTTTGATGCAAAATGATGATGTGGAGAAGATAGGGAAAGTGTTAGAAGAAAATGGGGTCGAGTTGTTTAGGAATTATTCTGATGGATCTGCTGTAGTGGAGCTCTACTCTCAGCTAAAGCCTTCGCCCCATCTAGCTTTGGAGGTGCTCTTTTTTGTTTCTATATACTCCTTTTGTTCATAGTAATGAAATTTTGGGTACCTAACTATGATATGATTGGTGTTAGTATTTTATTTTTTATTTTTTGCTCGATATATTTTAGTAATTATTATTACACTGGGTTCTTAATAACAGAATTAGCTCCATGAAATGCTTACTGGCAGATTTTAAATTGGCGAAGGAAACAATTGGACTATGCCTCTCCTATGACCGCAGAGGAGTATGCAAAGGGAATCACTATGGCTGGTAGATCTAAGAATGTTGATCTTGCAATTGAGTTATTTAATGAGGCTGCCAATAAACAGCTAAAAGCAGCATCTATATATAATGCACTCATGAGTGCTTACACATATAACGGTTTGGCCATGAAATGTCAGTCATTGTTTCGGCAGTTGAAGAAAGAAGCCACATGTACACCGACAATTGTAACATACAACATTCTTATTTCCTCTTTTGGCCGTTTGATGCTTGTAGATCACATGGAAGCGACTCTTCGAGAGATAAAGGATTTAAATCTCTCCCCAACTGTCAATACGTACAATGGTTTAATCGCTGGGTATATTACAGCATGGATGTGGGAAGAAATGGAAAATACCTACAGGATCATGAAGGCAAGTGGTATCAAGCCTGATCTAGACACTGATTTGCTGATGCTTCGAGGATATGCACACTGTAGTAAGCTGGAAAAGATGGAACAGGTTTATGAGATGGTAAGAGATCATGTCAATCAAAAGGAGGTTCCGTTGATTAGAGCCATGATATGTGCATATTGTAAGAGCCCTGATATCAATAAAGTTAAGAAGATTGAGGAATTGCTCAGACTAATCCCGGAAAATGATTATAGACCTTGGTTAAATGTGCTCTTAATTTGTGTATATGCAAGAGAGGATTTATTAGAGCAAATGGAAAATTCAATCAATCAGGCTTTTGAACATAATGCATCCATCACAACTGCTGGTGTGATGCGATGCATTATTTCAAGTTATTTCCGTCACAATGCTGTGGACAAGCTTGCTGATTTTGTGAAGCGTGCAGAGTCTTCAGGTTGGAAAATCTGCCGTTCTCTTTATCATTGCAAGATGGTTATGTATTCAGCACAGATGCGCCTTGCTGAAATGGAGAGGGTTCTTGATGAGATGGATAGAGTGAACATGCACTGCACAAAGAAAACATTCTGGATATTGCACAAGGCCTATTCTAGGTGGGGTCAAAGAAGTAAACTTGAGCAGGTTTTAGGGATGATGTGCAAGCATGGATACAGAAATTCTTTGAATGCGTGAAGTTCATAGATAATCCTTCCATTGAACAACACGTGTTGAAATTCTTGGAAACAATTAAGCTAATAATAATCAGGATCATTCTGTCAGAGAGACGAACTGCAGTTTCATCAAATTTAAAGGTAAAGTTCTCCTCTGTAATCCTTCCATTATTTCCTCTCTCTTATTTATTTATCTATTTTTTTTTTTTTTATTTCTATTTTTTTGTCATGATATGTGTCTGTTGATTGTTGACATTGACCTTTTATTTGCTAGCAATATGTGCAGACCAAATTTATGTCAAGACTATATGTACATGTTGTGTTTCTTTGACCTTTTAGCATAGATAATCCTGTTGCATTACAATAGACAACATCAATTTCATGAGACGACTCTATCAGAAAATTTTCAAAATTTAGTTATTAGATTTCTGCTGTGGATTTTGTGCACTACCATGTGGCATCCTTTAATGGTAATATTTGCAAATACAGTAATATCTCTGATGGGTGTCAACAATATTAACAAATGGCGGAACAGTTCTGTTGAAGAGCAGGAACTTGTAGTTAATGATTCCTCTAATATGGTTGGAAGTCTACAAACTTCTGAAACTCTTAAAGTTTTACACTGATTCTTAAAAGACGTCTGTTTTGACTAATATTCATAGTGCTTCGAGATCTTTCTGGGTACTATTCATCATGAAAATATGTGGGCCGCTGATGCTTTTCTTTTCTTGATTCCTTTCTCAGTTTCCCTCTCACCACACCATAAAGATTATGAAAAACAGAACAAGAATCAGTAAAGACAGAGAAAAAATATATAAGTACTGAATAAAAATAAAGAGGGGAAACTTGAGAGGCAGTTTGGAAATTACTAAAATAGATAAAATTTTAGAGAGTAATGGGTAATAGAGTTGAAGGCAAAGAAAGAGACTACAAAAGCAACTTTTAAGTAGGTCTCACCTCATGTAATATTTACACACACTTTTATCTATTTCTTCTAAGTATTTTCCCAATTTAAATAAATTTGTTTATGTCGTAAATCAAGTATATTTTATGGATGACTAATTTGACCCTGCAACTCTAATTCTGCCATATAAATATTGAGTCGTTTTCTCAATAGAATACATGCATTGAGTATTGACTCTCAAGCTCTCTTATTGGCTTATTTTCTCTACTTTTATGACACGTCAACACGAGGTTCTAGCCAATTGAGTTAGCAAGAGTGACTCTTTTTCCTGCTCAAAGAAAGACGGGTCTGGTTCTCATAATGATGCAGCAGCTTGTGTTTCTGGCCAATCTGGCAATTACCTCTATTTGCACCATCGATTTCTACCTATTTTGAGGCACCAATTTGGAGTTAAAGCAGCACTACAATAATAACTTCAGAAATAGTGAACATGTAAAATTTTCAAAATTCCTAAAACTATTGTACTGATAAAACTAATTTTAAAGCTGGATGATTAACATCCTTATATGGACTGATCAAGGGAGGATTACAATGTCTAATTTATTACATTCTTTTAGGGACTTTTAAGAACATGTTTTATAACTTGGTTCACTCCAAATTCAATTGATAATCTGCTGCTCTCCTGGAGGATTAGAAACATACGCTTTGGATGCATGGAAAAACACATATATGACTCAGGAGGTTCTTGTTTTGTGCTTCGTGTTTCAACAGACAATATTTTGTAAGGTGAATATTTCAACCATGACTACTGGTGATTCTATTTCTCCGTCCATATATATACCATGTGATTTGCTGATGATGTAGATTATGTTATTTGGATGTTAAAGCGCTGATAATTATTTCTTACAATATTCATGAATTCATCTATTGCTAATAATATATAATAGGTTCATTAATTTATCAATTGTTATGAAAAGCTGGCTGCATAGCTTACTCTGAACCTCAAAATTAATTCTGCTACTTCAATGACAATGGTGTAATTTTGTAGAGAGCTCCCATTCACTTGTTGCATGTTGACTAGAGTTGCCGCACATGAATAGAATGCTGATTTCGGAGAAATAGAAGCTATCCTGGATGACATCATGCCTGTAGTCGTGGTGGTATGTTTCATGTATGCTGTATACAAAACCTCATTTAAATGTTTCAGAGTGACTAATGTGGATCAAATTTAATAAATAAATAAAAAATGAAGATTTCATAGAACATTCGTACCGTGCTGCAGATATTTTTTTTCCGCAGGATTGGACACTATGTGACTTGTTCAAGCTCTCTTGTTGGCCTAAATTTGTGCTTGTGGGGGTGGGTGGAGGTGGCAAGCTAATTTGGTTTGTGACTTCTTCAACTTTGCACCTTTTTATTTCCCCTTTTTTGAGATGTATTCATACTAATCAAATTTGTTCTTGATTAGTAATGATGATTATGATACATTATGGTTTCAGGATTCATCGTTTAGGGCTCTAAAATTTGAGTAGATGTCTAGTAGGCTGAATTTTTTTAGATTTATTGTTACATTTTTTCAAGCATGTGAAAACAAAGAGCCGGGACATTTTGAGCGACAATGTTAAAAAGTTGTAAACTAGGTTCTTACGCTCATAACTAAAATATTTTTGAACGCTTTGTGGTAGTGAAAAGACCCTACTTGGTGTGAGTTTTTCTGGTATTATGATGCCTATGCAAATGTAGAATCCATATCTTTACCCTTTCACCACACACAACAAATTAACTTTTTGGAATTTTCCTTGGCCATTTTGTCTACTGATGTTCATTTTGAGACTACATTTTCTTTCATTTTCATGACTATGACACTCGACGTGGAACCCTAGGTTGACCTAAATTCAGGTCCAAAAACCTTGAAAAATCAAGAACAATTCCCATTTTGTGTTTTTCCCTTACAAGAAACTTTCTTCTCTTCATAGAAAATGTTTAATCTTAGGTAACTGCATTTTTTTCTTTAAATTCTAATTTGATCGGGACAAGGAACTGAAACCTGAAGTGAAAAACTTGTTTAGATTAATAACTTGTTTGATTCCTATTCTTCTAAAAATTCTTTTTTTCAAAACTCCTTTTCTCTCACACATTCTTCAATAAAATAATATTAAACGCAAATCTAAAATTTTTCTTTAATTTTTAAACACACATTCTTCATCAATTTACTATTTAAAATGCATTATTTTCTCCAAAATGGAGGTCAAATAAGGATTAAATCGTATTGTATTTAAACAAATTTAATTTGATCTTCTTTCTAAAATTTTTGCAACTCTTCAGCCGTTATGTTATCAACTTGTTCTTGAACACGTAATTCCACACATTTTTAGTCTTGCAAGCATATTAAAGCCTTCAATATATTTTCTTTTAGTTTTGATTGTTCATCTAATAAAACTCTACCACCTAAACTAACTGTAGATACAATTGAATATTGTCTTTTATTACACCTCCACAATGATAAAAGAATAAATTTCTGTAATTTTTTTTATTGTAACATATTACGAACGTTCACGTACATATACCTAGCTAATTTAGAGCAAATTTTAAGATTCGTACCACCATCTATTGCTTTGGTTATTGATGAACTAGAGCTAAATGAGGGAACACTTGTATTGGTGTCCAAATAATTTCATATATCATTTGAATTGTTGAAATATTTCTCGAAAAACGAATTTTGGTAAGTAGAGCTGCACTGACCTCTTTTTTCAGCATAATAATTATACATTTCACATAACATAGATCTATCTGTACATTTGATGATAATTTCATATTCATGAAATTTAAAATCCTCTTTATAATAACTTTTGTGCCAGTTAAATTAAATTGAGAGTCCATCACCGAAGCTAAAAGAATAAAAATGCAATTCTTTTCAACATTTACAAAATTTTAACTCCATAGAATAGATCACATCAAGAAAAATTGGAAAATTCTTATATTTGTGAAATGTAGAAAAATTGTTGTAAAACAAGCAAAGATATAAGGTAATAAACACTGTTACATTCCTTTGTGGCATAAAAAAAAAAGTTTTAAGAATTTCTTTACACAAAATATAATAGACCATTTTCAGTCTTTCAAACTATGTTCGGGTTCGTATATAGGCATATCATTATAATATAGTGAATAACTTTATCATAATTTTTCATATGAATATAATATAAAATATGTAGAGTTCCATCAATGTGTTGCATTAGTAGTAAATGATTTCTCTTGTAAGTCATTCTCTGTACACAAACTGTTAAATACTTGCTTTCTTACTGGTGACACAATTATAAAATTTATTAATTGTCTAATTTTATCTGAAGACAATCTTATATGTTCTAATTCATCTTTTACAATGAAATTGATAATATGACATACACAACATTGATAAAAAAAATAAACTTCCAAATGCAAGTTAAGATTATTAATAAATTTATCGATAATATATTTTTTCACACTGATATTATCAAATTAAAATTTCAACCATTTCTTGTATACCATATTCTTGTATAATATCTTTTGAAACCATGTATATATTAATGACATTATAAAGCATTCTACATATCTGAATGCAATAATCTTTTTATATAGAAGTCACAGTTGATTAACGTAATGAGCCGTAGTTGCAATATAATTTTTTTTATTACCACCAATCAATAAATCAAAGATAAATGATATAAAAATATTAAAAGTTTTTAGACATTCAATAGTAACTTGTTTTCTTTTGTTATATAATTTTATAGTAGATGAACAATGAATATCACTACAATAAGAAGTATATGTGGGTTGGAGATAATTTTGCACAAATTGAGTAAAGTATATTGAGTCTATTATCGTAAGCGACATCTCTACTGCAGGCATGTATGTATCTATTTCTTTATGAAATATTTTCTGTTAACATACAAAGGTGGAAAGAGTAGAACTAAAATCGCTAAACACTACTTCAGTCTGTTTTGGGTCGAGATTGATTGATTTTACTTTGCAACTTCTTAATATGTGCAGATTCAAATGCATTGTGCTTGAACCAGGCCTTCAACTAAGTTTTTTGCCATGATAATTGAAACATATTTTCCAAATATCAACTCCATTTTGTACACCAACTTTTTATGTGTCATATGTTACCAACAATTCGAGTATTATCTTTTCAACTTTTTAGTGTTGAGTACATCTTTCCAGTGGCGGATTTTGGAGTTCGAATGAGTATGGGTGATTGTTGACCATTGATCGGTAATTACCACAAAAAAAATAAAAATCAAATACATCTATTATTATATTTTTGTTACACTTGACTTTGATATTCATTAAATGTCATAGTGGGCAAGCATTCCAAAACTTTAAAGAGGAAGGTGGTTCGAATCTTTCCCATTGCACGAGTTTTAATAACCAAATATCTATTACTTTACTAAAAGTTAACATATCTACACATGTTACATTTATTGTTAAAACCCACTAAATGTTGAACTCCTGACCTTCGGTTTACTAAACTGGTCTCTTACCAACAGAGCTACAAGAGTTACTTGAAAACAAATTAAATTATCAGATATATATATCCAAAAAAAAAAATATACATTGATACCAAAAAAATAATAATTTAATGCCGGCAAATCTAGCACGGGCGACCGCGGGTGTTCGTCAGGTACTGAATTTGCTGTTGCTTCTTTCGATATCTTCCAAATCAATTTGAACATTTTGAGATGCATCGTAGTTGGTTGGAATACTCGAACTACCGTTAAATTGATTAATTTCATCACTAGTAAAATCCATTTAAGGTTATTATAACAAAAGATACTAAATATTAGAGTAAAAGAAATTGAATATCAAAGCAAAAAAATTGAAGATTGAAGTCGAAACTAGAATACTGCAAATTAAAACTGATTGAAGTAAATTGATATGAAACGCAAAAATTTAACTCATATTTATAGCAAAATATATAATTATTTTTATTAAATTTGAAATTCAAATTTGATTTTAAATTTACATCTATCATAAAGTAGCTACATGCTGCCTTAACAGGCAGCTACGCTTGTTAAGGCAGCTACACTTTTTGTATTTGAATTTTTTTTTTTATATTATTAAAGTTCTGTCGGCAATTTTTTTTTCTAAGGTTCGGCTTGTTACGGACCGAAAATGGACCAAGCTGGATTGGGCTCTAGCCTACACCCCAAAATGGGGTTCAGCTTGAGCCTCGACTCGGTTCCTCCGAGTCACGAACAGGGCTAGCTCGAACTTTTCTCAAGGTCGGTTCATTGGATGTTCAATGGGTGCAGTGATGAATAGAATGAAATGATAGAAAAAAAATAAATTGCTCATTTCAACGTAACAAAACAAATGTACTTAAGACAATATTTTGTAACTATCTAAATCTGTTAAATTTTTGAATTAATTTGGACAGCAAGTCACTTGGCAAAAATTAAAAACCATAACAGTTCTTATGTTAAACTAGTGGATTTCTTTAAATGGAGTGTGAGCAATCTAAATCATTGTACTTGGACAGAAATGGTCAACAAATAAATGAGTTATGCTTGATGATGGAAACAATGGTTCAAATGGTATAGCTCAAACCCCAAACAACCTTGTATCAAAATCAAAGCAATCAAGAATTGACAAGAATTTATCAAATCAATGTCAAAAGATGGAGAGATCCAATGTTTGGACTCATATCTAATCATTATTTCTTGAGATTTTGATGTATTTTGGTGGGGTGTGGGATTTTAACTTTAGGGTGAGAATGGGTAAAGTGTAAACAAGATACTTGGGTAACAAAGATTAATTGGAAGTTTATTTTGGACTCTTGGTGAGATATACTTTTTGCTTCTATTTATGTTAAATGTACACTAAAAATTATTTCGATGAACTCAATTTAAGATTGCACGTGTAGAATTTTGTGGACCACATCACTCGCGTGCTTTCATGCATCGAGGTTGTTTTTGACATGCAAATATGAATTCAAAGATCATACTTTTCAAGCGATCTTTCAATTGGCATTTTTGTTGCTATTTTTGTGTATTGAATTCTTTTTCGGGAAGGTTATATAAGCTTGTTCGGTGGTGATTATGAGAATCGATTTTTTGATCGTTAAGGAGAAAAGTGGGTCCTATCCGTGAGTGAAGAGGTCAAAAATGACGACTGAAATAGTGAAATAACAGTGAAAAATTGATTTTTGGGGGGGGGGGGGGGGAAAAAACTAACAACGTGCTTTTTAGCCAAGTGATTCGACATGGTATCAAGTTGCGAGTTTGAGTCTTACTGCCACACACATATATGAAATTATGCTTGTGTCAAGCTTTAATGAAAAAAATATGAACATTGCCCACAAGTGAGGGGGCTTGTTGAAGACAATGTTGAAGTGATATACACGTGATCCTCGCCAACAACTCAAGCTTTTATTATAAAATGTTATGGATATCTGGTGTGAAGAATTTTTATTTTTATTTATTTATTTAAATTTGATTTTGGGGGGGGGGGGGGGTAAAAAATTGCTGCCAAACGGGAGCTATAGTTTTTTGTTTACCTTGTATAAAATCATCTTAAATTTTGTGTTTATGGATGATTATCCTTATTATATAGTACTCAATGTCTACTGCAAGAGATATAACTCTGTGTTTAAATGAGACAATTCTATCAAAACAATAATCTTCCTTCATAACAGAACTCTCCTTTTGATATGGCGGTGTTGTCGTGTTGAAAGAGTTGTCTATGTACTCGTCACGATACATATATATTTATCCCACACTGTACCTAAAGAGTCTCACCCCATTTCGCACCTTTCTTTGTATATTAAAAACTTGTAAGTAATTATGTTTATTTTGATATTTTTTTACGACGATCGCTTATTAAAAGCAGTTTTCGATAAAATCAAGAGCAACCATTGGGAAGGAATATACATATCTAACTTTGCCAACCTGACTAGTGATTTTTTCAACTAAAAAATATCTTCTTGAAGCATAATGCATAAGCAGAATTGATTACAGGTAATTGATTATAATAGTAATAATAAGTTTTTTGAGGAGTAAGCAAACACCAATAAGCCAGTAAACCGAAAACAGACAAAAAGAACAGTGACAAAATGTAAAATGACAACTTTCTTGGTGCTATCAAAAGCCAAATGCATTGCTCCATATAATGGAGTTTTTCCCTATTATCACCCTTGGTAAAAGTAAAGTAAGTAATTATTGAATAGTAGTTAATAAGAAAAATAAGTCAAAATCTTCTTAGAAATAAATATCATTCAATCTCATTTAGTATTGAATGCTAGAAAGATTTTAAAAATTCAAAAATAACTTCTTAATCTTAATTAGACACGTTGACATTTGAATCTTAAAGATAATGAATGATATGAAAAGTCATAATTGTCACGAATTTATGCATAAATTGCTCGTTATGCCATTTTAAATTTGCAAGTATATGCCAAAAATAGAAAAAAAAATGAATGTGCCTTCCGGTAGTCAGCGTATTTAAATCGACAGAGTCATTTATAATGTCTAACAAGTGTTGTCGAATTGAGATTTTTTTATTTTTTGATTATTATCTTAACCTACATATGAGACTCGTACATTTGCTAATGACTTGATAAGTCTGTGTTGAATTGAGAATAATCTGTTAAAAAAAAAAAAAAAAAAACACTGTAATTTTTGAGATGTATGTTATCAAAATTTTCCTTTTGTATGTGATCTAAAGATTAAATATTTTGATGCAATTCTTATACTAAAATATTCATTAATGCATAATATGCAGTTTTCTTGATATCTGGATGCCGCACGATACTTCTGCAATAAGGATACTTTTTGGAGGTTTATGGCCCTCGTTCTGTGGAGACCACGAAAGAGAGAGGCTGACTTAAGACAAACACATTATATATATGTGTGTGTGTGTGAGAAATTTAATCATCGTATTTTGACTTCTATTTGAAATTATGAGAAGACAAACACAGATGATGGCATAAAGATACACGGTAGGTTAAGACATTGCATACTTCACTCTTCCATGATATAGTAGATTACAATGTTTTGTAAGAGGTAATGACACGAAGGTACACATTAAATCAATCGAGACTCTGCGTACTCTTGGAAGTCATGTATTTTTCGATCATATAGTAGATTGCAATGACCTAAGTTGAAATAATGCATGTAGAAGTGTTGCCCAGAGCATAAGGAACATGATGACTCAACTTCATCCTCTTGTTCAACTCAACAGTTTATCCAAAGCTTCACAATAACAAACACAACAAATAAATAGCGCTCTTTCCTAGAAACTTTTATATTTTACAACAAATAGAAAGAGTAATGCTATTTAACATCGAGAGTTCTACGACAAGAGTCCATGTGATATTAAATTATGAACCTAATTAAATGGGGTTCAATTCCTACGTTTAATTGACACCCACCTAAATTGATATTGTAACACTCGTGATGCCAAATACAAAAGTTATGATCGCATTTTATAACAAAACCTTTCAGCAACAGAGTTTTTGCAACATTTGGTATGATTTTCATGCTCAAATCGACAAATATATATTGCACCAAATTTCTATCACCACAGCACAAAGTGCATCCCAAAAATAGATACGCTTATCTCTCCAACTCAATACTAGATAAAGTCAGCATGTTCAAGCAATAAATACCAACACATGACAAGCGCAGAGCCCAGGAAAAAAAAAGAGTAATTCCATAAAAAAACTGAGTTTCATATATTTATAGAGCACAGGTATAAAACACACCACAGTAATACTTACAATTCCTCTTTTACCAGATGTTTTGTGAACAAAATCAAAGTGCTTTCTCTGCCAAACCCACAAGGATAAGTTACTTTTCTGCAGTACAAAGATATGTGAACTTCCGATATGGAATGTGTTTCTAAACCACAAAACAAAGGCAATGACCTTCGGATGGAGATGGTTCATCTTAAGATGCAAAATCTCATTTCCATAAGCAACGACAAGTTAACATTGAAATAACCCTACACATCATATAACTACACACCTGCTAAAAGAGGGGGAAAATGGATCCCCGAGTAAAATATTGAGATTCTGTTATGTATAAATAGCTGCGTTTAATTGAAGTTTTGTAAATATGTATTAACAGTTAAGGATGGATGAAGCTCTTGATCTCGTCTATGAGGCAATGGAAATGCTCGTTATTTGGCAAGAAGTAGAATCCAATTGTTGCCTTTTCAAGATAGAGGAGTTTTACTTCATGCCCAGATTTCTTAAGCCCTTCAACATAATCCAATTGCCAGTCCTTAACAAGATCCAACCCGGCTACAACCACTAAGCTTTTCGGAAAATTAAGTCCCTTAATGCTTTTACCCCTAGGGCCAAATATGTTACAGGCCGGATGGTCTCGATCTTCTCCTTCTGGTAAAAAGGCTCTCCAGTACCAATCCCTGTCTCGAACCGTTACAAAGTATTTCCCGTCCAATCTTTTCTCTGATTCCTTTCTCTCTTGTCCACCAAACATCGGATGAAGAAGCATATTACCCAATACTTCAACACCCTCTTCAGCAGCTCGTGCAGCAACATGGTGCGCTATATTCCCACCCGAGCTATCTCCAGCCAAATATAAGTGAACCTTCGACTCCGTCCCACTCCTTAGCCATGGTCTAGAGTGAACCCACTTAACAGCTGCCCACCCATCATCATACGCACAAGGGTACCGATGTTCAGGCGATCGGCGATAATTCACAGATACCACAGCAGCTTTGCAAATGTTGACAAGGCGACGACAAAATGTATCGTAAATGGCACTATTGGCCGAAGAATGAGTAAAGCTACCCCCATGGAAGAACAGAATTACAGGAACAATTTCATTAGTACTCAGTGGTTTTTCAACTTCTAAAATCCGCCATTGAGCCTCATTCGCAAGGGAAGACAAGTAAACCCGGTTGAAAAGGCCCGTCGCTCCACCTACTTCATCGAAAGAGTAAACCCCATCTACAGGATTCACATTAGCAGAGACTTTTCGATCAAGAAACTCAGCTAAATCACGGTTAAATGTGCCATCTGGACGGCGAAGCATGTTGTAAGAAAGCTTGAAATTGGATATAAGAATCCATGTATTCAGTGGAACCACCTTCTGCAAAAGAGTGTTTCAAGCTCTAATTACATGTTCATCAATCAATTGCAGCACCAAAAAGGTGAAAACCCTAAAACTGAGTGAAGAAATTGATAATACAAGTGTATCTGACCTAGGTACTATACAACCAGTAGAACAAATCACAGTAAATGAAAATTCTGAAAAACAATTTATAAATAGGCATAGAACGAAAGCAAATCAGAGCAATAAAAGAAAAGGGGAAAATATATAAAAACAAAAAAAGATCACCGCGAATGCAAAGGTGAAGATTCAAATTTTCAGCACAAATCAGACCCTTTTTCTCAACAAATGAAAACTTTCATCAGCAAAAGTTTCAAACCTACGAGATTAATTAGCCAAAAGTAGAGAAATTTTCATAAAATCCCAAATAAAAGACCAATAAATTTTGAGCAATACAGGAATAATAGTCGAGTGTGTACCTTTGATTCACTAACGTTTACTTCATTAATGCCGGCCATGAGAAGTAATTTCAAGAATCAAACTTCTAAAACCTTAAAGGGTCACGCTAATCTCTTGAACAATCCCTGTTTTACTACTATTCATAGCACTCCAAAAACTTTCTGAGATCTATTTACCATAGAAATATGTGGGCTACCGAACAAAAAGATCAAGAAAAACTGACCAAAAATCATAAAAGATAGAGAGGAAAATCCGAAAATGTTTACGTGCGTGAATGAAAGATAAAGAGTCGAAGCTTGAGGGGGCAGTGTGATAATTGTTACTATAATAGATAAGAGGAGAGAGAAATGGGGAATAGAGTCAAAAGCGAACGAGACAGACGACAAAAGGGATGGCCGATATCGACTGTTTAGGTAGGCCCCACTTTAGATTTAAACACCCTTTTATATGTATATTATTATTTGGTCCATGGATTTTCCAAATTTAGGCGTTGATTTTTTTTTATTTTTTTTTTATTTTTTTATTTTTTTAAAAGAAATTGGGTTTTCTTTTAGATAGAGATAATTAATTAATTTATACTTATTTTCATTTCCCTTACGTTTGTTAGGACTGAATGAGAAAATATTTTACGTATCCATCCTGACAAAAACGTTATATATTCGAACGAGGAGCTAAGAAACAGTTTACTTTGACAGTAAAACCTCTTTCGCCTTTAATAAATAATACGGTAAAGTAATTTAGCCTTCGTTTGTTTCTCACTTTTGGAAGAATGAGAATGGAAAATATAGTCGTTATCGATCCCACACAAGAGATAGAAATTCAACTTTGATAACTTGATGTGATTAATAACGGTCATATTTTACATTTTAATGAGAAAAAAATGGGAACCAAATAAGGGCTTAATAGTTTTAGCTGTTATTTGAACCATATTATTTTCATAAGAATGCAGTTTTTGCATAATGTATTGATGAAAAATGTGTAGTTAAAAAATAAGTAAAAGTTTTGGATTTGGATGTAATATTATTTTATTGAATAACGTGTGGTTGAAATTATGTCAAATCACTATTTAGGAATATATATTTTTAAAAGAATGTAGGTCAAACATGTCCTAATCTTTGCTACAAAGAGCTTGTTTGATACAGCTAAAAAGTCAATTAAAATCAAAATTTTGATGTTATTTCATTATTACAGTTATCATTTTCGAATTTTTCTTTCACAGATAAGGTCCACTTTATCTTTAACGATAAAAAAATCAATTATCAAAATTCTTACCAAACAAACACAAAGTTGTCGAAGGTTCCATTTAGAGGAGAACCATAAAAGTACATTACCCCCACGTTTTCTTCTTTCTAACGTACGAGTTTTCTAGAATTTAAAGGCCGTGTGATATGTTTTCCATATTTACATTGGACAAAAGACAACCTCACATGTTATTGGGTTTTTGTAAGTGAGACATACTTTTTTACATGTTTGGCATATTTTTAACAATTCCTAATTTCTTGATATATCAAATCTTTACACGTTGATGCATGCTTCTGTAAACCCAAACGTTGGAGTTGATCTTTAAATGGAATGAACCATTGTTTGTAATTTTGTATAATTGGCAAGAGTTAATTTAGAGCTTTGTTTGGTAATGATTTTAAGTCAATTAAAATCAATTTTTTGATTGTTATTTCACTATTTCAGTCGTCATTTTTATATTCTTCCCTAACAGATATGACCCACTTTATCTCTAACGTTCAAAAAATCAATTATCAAAACTTTTACCAAACAAGCACTTAGATTGCCACTTTAACGTGAATAAAACATAGTTGCCATTCAAATTGGATATAACATAAATCAATTCTTATCGAGATTAATAAAATTTGTTTGAAATTTGTAAATTTCTATCAAATGCATGTTAGTGGAGATTTGAGAATGACAATGGGGTGGATCAAGGTGGTCATTACCATCCATTGAATATTTGAGAAACTGGCCAGGGCAAAGATTAAAAAGTCCATTTATTGTCCCGTTTAATTAATTTAATTATATATTTAGTATTACATTTTTATTTTTAAATTTTTTAATCAAATTATATATTATGTATACATAATTGGAAATGAAAATTTATTAATAAAAAATTATATTTATGTATTCATAAACTAAAATAAGATCTTAAATAAAAACATCCACATTTCACAATTGAAGTAAATTTTATCCAAGTTATAGTAGTTATAATATAAAATTATAGACTCTAAAAACTATTATTTAAGTCCCCGTTTGATACCAATTAAAAAGAGATTTTTTTTTAAGAAAAATGAGTTTTGAAATAGTTATTTGTTGAAGAATGTATGATTAAAAAGTTAGAATTTTTTTTATGCACTTGTAATATATTTTATTATGCGAATGTGTGGTTAAAAATGAATTTTAAAAAATGTATTAAGAAATTAAAAACAATATTATACATAAGTTATGGCTAAATATTTCACACTACAATTTTTCAATAACCAAACTACATTTTAATTGTATGAAGGTTCATAACTTTTACAAACTATCACATTCACGTCTTAAACATTTTTTCATCGTATTCTTGTTCTCAAATTAATATAAATAGTTCTTGGTTGTGGTTTCTCTCCAAAATTTTCTTTAAAAAAATTCATTTGTCCATTGTATTTTTTTAATAAGCAAAACATATAATAATGCAAAAATGCAATTAAATATTTGACCTCCATTTTCAGATCAGTGAAATGTTCAAAATCAAAATGTGATGAAGAAAAATAAGTGTTATAACGACATCCATACGTGACAATCACTAGTTAATCCTAAATGTTGTAGTTTTCATCTTGTGACCAATCCATTTAGGGAAATCGCTTGCAAAAGGAAGTTGCTATACAAGTTATTCTTAACGTATGATGTATTTAAATGTACTCGAATATAGTTTAAGTATTTAGATCTAAGGGGGACTCGAGTGCTCGCTTAAGTATAGATCGAGGTTTATAGCGTCGAATTTAGAAAGGAAAACTTCGGAGCTAATAAGAATGGCTTTGTCCATAGGCGTACTTACTTGTATGGCTTCTAAAAATAGAATTGACGAAAAAAAGGAAAGGTCACAATACTTTTCCAGCGTGCGGCCGAGGCCAAGACACGTGGTCGGAACAGGTTTCCTTCTCGACTCTTTGCAGCCGCTACCCCCCTTCGAATTACCAAATATACCCTCAGAACTCCTCAAAACCCTCTGCATTAAAACGCATATCGCTCGGAGAACCTTTTTTCTTCTTGGGATAGGGCCCAGTGCTGGCCTTTTTTTATGGGCCGGGCTTACCTATAATGGACCCCGCCTCCGGCTTTCTTCTTACCATTTGACGCACTATTTTTGGGGGAACATAACTATCTCAACTCTTAACTGAAAAAGATTGGTAACAAAGTCTTACCTATTAAATTTATCTAGCATGCCTCGAAAGTTAAATTTATTTTACATGAAACCTATTTTTGACAACGTAATAATAAGAATAATCAAACATTCTGCAAATATGTTTAGGATCAATGAGTACCAATGTATCGATACTTTATTGAACCTTAGACTTCAAATATCCGACTCTGCTCTTTATATATGTAATTAATTATGTGAGCATTGACATTCCTTAGTACTAAAACCAATGAACGCTTAATCCATTCCCCCACCACAGTTTCGGGATCCTCACCCGACATCATCACATCCGTCCATTACATATTCCTCATGGCCTTACATTTTACCTCAATGATCTCGTTATGAGCCGAAGAACATGCTTGAGGGATTAGCGTCGAGCATAATCTTGCTGAAGCACAGAGATTGACTTTTAGGATGACCTAATCATGTTAAGATTATTATTAAAGTCCAACCCCCTTTTTGGTGGAGATTAAAATCAGAATTTTGGTAGATTTGATAAAAGTTGATGAAATATATGATTGAAAAGTTATGGACCTTATAAAATATGTATGACCTTGACTCATGTTAATATCTGAATTTTAATTTCTATCAAACATGGACCAAATATATTTTAACAAAGAATTTCATTCCCACTTCAACTTTGAATTAGTAATTTCAACTGAATAATTTTAATGATATTTGTAAATAATTAAAAGTAATTTTTATTGACAAAAGTTAGAATAATTAAAGTTATTTAATTTGATACTAAAGTAATACATAATCGAAAAGTAACTTTTTTCACTTAAAGAAATCAATAATCATTTTAAGTAATTTTACTTCTAGACTTGACCAACCAAACATACTCAACTAAAAAAAGTTATATTATATATCACAAAATGGAGCAATTAATATATTCTCGAACTTCAAAGGACTGCCACGTGGTGTATGTATATTACTATATTTTATACGGCTATTTTTACCATATTGAACTAACACGACGTATGAAAATGCCAACTTTACGTATTATATATTCTTAATTAATTATACAATTTAATGATGTTATATGGTCACTAGTGACATGCATGTACGCATAATTTGATGGTGTCATAAGGTCATGAGTGACATGTACTCTATGAAAGTACACACTATCTTCTAATTTTTTTTTTTTTTTTTTTTTTTTTAACGAGGTGTCCCAACTTACGCCAGACTATATATCCTCGTCCCTGAACCTCCGGCCCCTCAGCTGCTCAGGGAGGTAAATCGCAGGATGTGCCCTTGTTGGTTCCCACATGGTTTTTACTCCTTCCCCAAAGGAAGCCTCCTCCATGGTGATTAATCCACCAATAATTCCTCATTTATTGGATCAAAGGTTCCCAACAGGAATCGAACTCCCCACGCTTGGTTCCAGAGCCCCCCAATGTGATTGTTCCACCAACTTGGATGTGCCCTGGGGGGCAACTATCTTCTAATTTACTCATTCTTGTCGTCGCTTTAGAAGAACATGCACCCATCTTGGTAGTTGGCCCTTGAGAATTTTTTCAAGCCTCTAGCAAGATGAACTCAATACTTCTTGTAAGTGACACTTTAAGTTGAACGCTAATATCAATTTAGCAAAATGGTAAAATTCAGGAGGCCATAGTTGAGGTCGTATCATTATTGATCATATCAACTTGAAAATCAAAAGGTTTTCATTGCATTTTTCTATTGTAGGTGTACGATATCGAACAAGTAATATAATTGACCTTTGAGTTCGAATAATTGTTCTCACAATAACTATTATTTATTCATATTTCACTAATTCTACTCTTATTTGATGAAAATAAACAATAATTTAGTAATTGTTGATCTAACTATTTCTAACAAATTGAATATATCAAAATGCACCAAAAATTTAAATTAGATTTTTTAAATATGAAAGGGATATTAAGGTACACAATTTTATTTATTGGTTATCTTTAATT